GTGCCCTTGACCAGAATGGAACCTGTGACCCTTCAGTCCGTGGGCTGATGCTCTAACCCCTCAGCAAACCAGCCAGGGCTATGCTGCCTTACTCTTGCCTTACTCTTTCAGTGGTGAGGCCATGACTTCAGGAAGACAGGTGGCTGGAGAAGGAAAGTGGAGTTATGGGCACAGGAAATATCCTATATAATAAAAGCCTAATATGCTAAGTGTCTGGTCAGTCATTCAACCAAGCATAATATGCTAATGATATACTAAGGCAGCTTAACTGCTTGCTATGATGTGCAATGACCACCAGGGGGCAGATGCTCTGACTGGTAGATTAGCTTGCTGCTGGGGTCCGACAGATCAGGACTGAGTGGGATGGGCTGGACATGCCCTGGAGCCCTCCTGTGTTCCCTCCCCTGCTGGGCAACCTTCCACATCCCTCCTCAGTTGGGATCCGGCACTGATGGGGTCCCTTGGCCTGGCCTGCACCCTCTTGCAATCCGGGCTGAGGGACACCCCCACAAGTGCATCAATTTCGTGCACTGGGCCTCTAATATATATATTTAATGTCATTAGGGGCTCCTATGGTTCCCCCATTTCTGAAGCAAACTGTGTTATTTAACCTCAGAAAGGAAAGGAATGACTGAAGTCTTTGTCATTCTTTCTTAGAGGAATCCCTCCATTGGGTACAGGAGAATGAGATAATTATGGTTCCTGTGTCAGACAGAACCTAGCACTGTTCTTAGCTGCAGGGATGCTCCAGTGTGCTGCTGTGAAGGGTCCTGGGAGAGGCAGGGAGAGCAGCTTCCTCCAGCCTGTGGGAGAGTGAATGAACGCAGAATGGGATTCTTCCTAAGTGCCCGTCTCATGGTGTGGGGTGTGGGATATGCAGCCCTATTGGCACTGTTCCCTGAGTTCCAAGGCCTTCCGTAGCCCCCACCAATCATCTCTTTGCAGCAAAGGCAGCTGCAGTGGCATCTGTCAACTGGGGGTCCTCTGCTCAGGTGGCTGCTGCTCACCAGCTAATAGGTGATTATCTAGTCTACCCTTGTGGGGCCCAGTCTTAATAGAATCTAATACCATCCTTATAAATACATTTACCAGAATAAACCTGCTCCCAGTGTGCTCAAGCCCATGACTCTTTGCAGAAGTGCGTGGTCTCCGTTGATGTTTTGTTTAAGCAACAAACCAAAAAACAAAATCCCTTTAATTTATATGAAAAGCTACCCAGAGTAGCAATCACATTCCTAGTGAGGGTGTGGATAGGTTGACCCCTTAGCAGCCAGCCTTTGGGAGGTGATTATAACACCAGGAAGGCAGGGCCGTCACAAGACAGAGCTGGGGAAAGAAGGCAATCGTCACTACTATTGCCAAGGGCCTTAGAGGGGTTTTCTCATTGAATCCTTACAGCCCTCTATAACAGGTACCACTAACCCAAGTTGGCAGATGAGGAAAAGACATTCAGAACTGTAAAGAGAAGAGACAATATATTATGGAGTAGGAATTTTGTCATTAGTCCAGGAATTATTGAAGGGCTTCTGACATTACACAATAGCTGCCTCAGGCTGAAGGTGAGCATTAGGGAAAGGAATTAAGCCAGGCCTTTGCCCATTCCTCCCTTCCCCGTTTCCACATGGAATCTCACTGAAGATAGCTATAGCTGTTAGATGAATAGTGTCACTGGGTTGGGGTCCTTCATGCATTGAATTTATTCCTAGACTAAATCAGCTCTTATAATAATAACTAGAGGCCCGGTGCACGAAATTTGTGCACAAGTGGGGTCCAGCGGGCCACCCCGTTCAGGGTCGATCAGGCTGGGCCAGACAGGGGGAGGGACCAGGGACGGTTGGTGGACCAGCCCTGCCCCCTGGTTGAACTCCCAGTCAAGGGGACAATTTGCATATTAGCCTTTCACTATATAGGATTATTATAGCTCATAATGATGGGAGCAGAGAGAATCAGTCAATGTTAGAATTCAACTTTCCACCCAAGGCTAACTTTAGACAGTTAATTCTCAATAGATCTTTTACCTTAAATCCCACCCACTTTTCTAAAAAAGTGATGTGAGCAAAGGCTTTGTTTTTGCCACTTTAAAAAGAAGAAATTTTTCCTTTACCTCTTAGTGCTTAATAAGAATTGGAACCATCTGCTCTTTCCTGAACATAGACCAGCCTGGGCTCAGCCAACTGTGGAGATGCCCAATGGTTCTCCCTCTGGAATGTGTCTCCACAGAACAGAGGGAATGTATGCACCCTTAGGCAACAATTTAAACAAAAATCAATTTAAAGAAAATTCCTATTCTTTTTTTAAAATATATTTTTATTGATTTCAAAAAGGAAGGGAAAGGGAGAGAGAGTTAAAAACATCAATGATGAGAGAATCATTGATCAGCTGCCTCCTGTACGCCCCCTACTGGGGGTTGAGCCTGCAACCTTGGCATGTGCCCTTGACCAGAATCAAACCCAGGAGCCTTCAATACACAGGACGACGCTCTATCCACTGAGCAAAAACAGGGCAAGAAAATTCCTCTTCTTTACTCTCTTGATTTCCACAATCATAAAACAGACATAAGGAAATACAGGGAAAGCAAAAGATTTAGCAACAAGATTTCCTTTTGACTGTCTAAAATCTAAATTGAAACAAACTTTGAAGCTCTCCTTTGGTCAAGTTTGCATAATATAATTTTCTTGGAATTTTCTAAGTTATCATGTTTAAATAAATTGAAATTCCTCTGGAAAGTCATTTTCTTGGCAACTGTAGTAAGCTTTTAATTAGTGTTCCTGAGCCAGAAGCCTCAGTTCTGACACTCTAATAGAGACCACAGATATTTTCTCCAAAAGTGGGAAGCAGGATTCCAAGAAGAGAAGGGTCTGTGCAGCCACTTAGGCCTGTGGTGTGTTTGTGTTTATCCAGCACGTGCTACCAGGCCAGGACTAATGGCAGCAGGTGCCGCGAAGGGATGACCCTCAATTTAGAACGTTTAGTGCGTCTTTGGTACTTGCCTTTTGAAACATTGGAAACTCTTTAATGGCTTCGGGGAGACCAAGTCACTCTTCCTCCTCGTGGTGTGCCCCAATGATTGGGTCTCACTGTGCGAATGGAAGCTGTAAGCCTTAGGTGAGTGAGCATATTGGCAGTTCCAATGAAGCCAAAGCTGATCTCCTATGTCATTCGTTCTAACTCTGACCGCTGCCTGTCTGGGGCAAGGGTGTGACCCCGGGGAAGGAGTTCAGAACAGGTACTGGTTAATTCATCCCAAATAAAACCACTTACTTCCTCTTGCTCTTCCTGTTCACTCCACTATCCTGCCCAGCCTTCCTGAGTCTCTCCCTTCTCTATTAAATCTGAGGCCAAGCCTGTGACCGAGGCTGCCTCAGCCACCAGCCTGCTGTCCTCAGGGATAATTCATACCCGGGCTTTCTACAGGGAGGGGCTGCAGTCACATGCCCTCTGTGTTCAGCACACTCTTGTCTAGATGAGTTGGGGGGCTGAAGGGCTTGCGTCTGAGGCCTGGCTCTTCCAGGCAGCGGCACAGAATACAAGTAAAACTACCACATGCTGAGCATCCACTATATGGCAGGCATTGGGTTTTCTTCTCCTTTCAATCTTCACTATCACCCGTGTGTAAGTGCTGCTTTTGTCCTCACTTAACAGATGAGCTCTCGGGGGTTCAGAGAGGTTAAGTGATTTGCCGAGGGTCACAGCGCAGATAATTAGCAGAGCTGGCACCTGAGGCCAGGCAGTCTGACTCCTGCAGCTGCTCCAGTAGCTGCCTCATGGGAAGGATGAAAACATGGGCCCACAGATCCTACTTCTCCTGGCAGGAGCTTCGCTTTCCAGGCCACCAAAACCCAGTCCTTCAGGATACCTCCTCACCATGGCATTCATAAATAGACTAAATCTGATTTGTATTTATTTGGCCATACAAGTCCCTGGCAAGGCATATCAGAATATACTCCACCACTTCACTTCCCATGGCTTTCTAGTTTTTACCTGCTCACACCTCAATAGCCCATGTGTATACAGTGTTGTATTGCTTGCCTGATTCACGTGTCCCAGCTGCCCTGAAAAGTGTGTGGGCCTCATTGGGTCTCCCGGGCCACAGGCCAGGCATTTGTTATAGAATCAGGGAAAGGAGAACACTCACTGAATATTTGATATTATTATGGAAATTTTATTATTATAGTTTTAGTTGTGATAATGGTATTGAAGGCTTTTTTATTTAAGGAATCCTCTTTTATAGATTCATATAAAAATAATTTGGGGTGGGGAGGATATGAGATGGGGGAATAGATGAAATGAGATTCAGGCTCTGAATCAGCAAATGTTGAAGCGGGGAGGGGGTGGGAGGCCTTCATGGGAAGGAATCTATTATACTGTTTTCTCCACTTGTGTATGCACACAAAACTTTCCATAATACAATATTATTTAAAAAATTGGATCTGACTGAAAGAGAAACCAGAATGGTAAGCAATATGCTTCATTTTTCCCAACAAAGACCCAGAGACATGGGCATAGGATCTGTGGGCCCATGTTTTCATCCTTCCCATGAGCGCCGTGGCAGGTGAAGGGCCTTTTATTCAGGCAACTCACCAAAACTTAGCTCCACAACGTGGAAAGGTCAGAAATAACAATACAAAGCCTGAGCTGTGTCCACACTCACACATTTATTTGGGTTTGGAGAGACGACACGGATAAAATACTTTGATCATACACAAGTTTATATTTGGTAAGAACAGGTTGCCACATGTTTATATTTTTTCTTTTCGTAACGGAATAATGCTGGGGAGATGGCGATGTCTTGCAGAAACTCCGGTTGGGAACACTATTTGGCACATTTAACTAATAAATACACAATGTTTGTACTTAGCATTGGAAAACAGGACAGCACATGCAAGGTGATCTCCACTGGTAGGGTCCTTCACTCCTTGTCCTGCCCTATATTTACACTTGTGCTTTCTTTGTCCATATTCTGAGGAGTAGGACCTACTCCAAACCCCAGTAGGGACAATACCTGCAATTTTGGCAGCATGTGACATTCCATATTGGTTTCTTCTGTTCTCCGAGATAAAGTAGCACTCACCTTGCTTTTTGTGAAATCACAATTGTCAAAGGAGATTCTCAGTGGGGTGCTTAGCCGGGGGCATGTTCTGTATTAGAGCTGATGTGGAGGGCGTACAGTTTAGCAGAGAGGAGGAGAGAGAGATTACAGGAACAGTGCGAATGCAGTTCTCAGAATATCGATACAGCTACCACACAGAAAAAGACAGATCAATAATATATTGTACAAGCTTTTACAGCAACACATGTTGATTTGCAGCACTGTAAAGTTCATATCTAAAGCACACAACCACAATCTGAGGTGACAAGACAGTACTATCAATACAATAAAGGCAACACAGTTACATACACAACTGATTCTTTTTCTTTCCTCACAGCCTTGTGATAATACATGAATTCAATCCCATTTATATGTCTCAGATTAAGACGTACCACACTTGTTTCAAGTATTTAAAAATAATAAACACAATATTGCTGTATAAATGAAAATGGTCATGTTAATTCTGATTAAAGCTACCACCAAACTTTTCTAAAATTTGTAAAGAATGGTTCCACCTTTGGTACTGGGGATTTGGGCTAATGTTCAAAACCACCTACCTCCCTCACTCCCTCCCACCCGAGTGGGTGACAGACCTACTTTAAAGAATATTTATTAAACTGCTGGGACCTATTAGTCTTCTATTTACCTCCTTCCCCGGGCTACGGCTGGTCGGGGTTGCACTACACATGGTTGAGCTCCAAGCAAACTTGGGGAAGGACCTGGAAGGAGCAAAGGGTGGGGAACGTCACCTGTTGGTAAAAGCGATTTCTGGTCCATAGAGAAAGGAGAAATGTTTCTAAATTTGTGTCTGCAGCTTCACATATGAGTCCGCAGCCCCCTCGGCCTCTGAGAATCAGCAGGCCCAGAACTCTCTGTGGGGCCTCTTGTTAGCTCGTGTCTCTTCATCACGTTTGCAGGGGCAGAGGGTGCTTTCAAATATTGTTTTGAATTCTAAGGACCTTAATCTTTGCATAATCTGGGCACTTTGGATCTTGATGGGAGATAGAGAAAAGAAGGTCTTAAGGTGCTCTCTCAAAATCCCGGGTGAGGAGCTATTTTCACCAGAGGGACAAAAAATAACTACCCGTGGAGTTGAAATTAATTACTTGGGATCCCAGTGATGGGGCACCTAGCAGGGGAGACTTTCGTAAGTAGAGATGGTTGGAAATGGAACTAAGCAATTACTCAGGTGGTAAAGGACTCCTTCCTGGACAGTGGCAAAGCGGCGTCTGGGCTGACACCATCATTCTCAAGCAGACATCTCTTCTCCCGCAGCTGGCTTTAATTTCCTGGGCTCACCACACTCTGGAATGTGCTTTGTTCTTCTTTGCCCAGGTTGATTAGATTTTATTTTTCTCTAATGAATCCAGACGACCAAATAAAAGAATATGGTTTGGGAAGATGACATAAGAACCAGCATCAACTTTCTGTTTAAAACAGGGTGAACTGGAAAGTAAAATAGAGACGAGTACCCTAATTCAGTCTAAGATGAAGCCTGGCTTGTCATGCTCACTGAGCAGATCTGCAAAGGGTCAACTGGGTGGAAAACATTTTTAAATGGGAAGGGAATCTTATTGTTTCTCTGGTCAATTATATTAAGGGACTTGCAGTATTCTTTTGTGTTTGTTTTGTAATACTGACTTTAGAGATGTGATAAGCCATAACGTGAATAGGAAGAAGGCATCATACCTTTTTAAAGAATTTTGTGGGCCTAGGTTTCAAAATAACTGCTAAGTGTTTTATTGTGCCTCCCTGAAAAGAAAAAAAAAATCTGGCTTAGTTTTTATATCTGCCCCTGCAGTTTGTATAACCCATATAAAATAAAAATCTATATGTTACAAAATAGGATTTCTTTTTAATATATATATTTTACTTTTGTAAAATTATATGTATTTAAATACATTTGAAATGTCGCTATAGGTAAATTAGAAATTTTTTTCTAATACTATGAAAAAGGCAAGAGTTTTTATTGTCAACATACATTTTATATTTACTTTGTCCTTTTTACTGCACCCCAAAGAACCTTTTATGATTCAGGGGCAATTTGGCACTATTCAATCCTACTACTTTTAAGTGAAAATAACATTTGATTTGCATACTCTATTAAAAGTAAGGGAAGTACTTATAACAATTTTAAGCTTTCCCACATTGATTAGAACACAGCCTTTGTCACTAATTATTAGAGAGGTATTCTAACTTAAGAAAGGGTTTTTTAAAGGAGCAATGTTGTTGTTGTTTTTCACTGTACTTCTACTTTGACACCACAATATAGAAATAGATTTACTTTGGAACAGACTACAAATACATTCACACAGGTTGTGATAACTTAATTGTCTACCTAGAGAATTGAAACAGCTTAGTGAGTTAGTTTATTATAAATCTTGTCCAAGGCGTTCTATTTCTTCAATCAGGAAGTCAATGTCTTGGTGAGTTGCTGCGGGATTTGAAATGACCATGCGGAAGAAATTGACCTTGTCTCCCAAAGGCTGGTAGCTGACCATTGTGGTCCCAAACTCCATCATTCTGGCTTTAATCACCGGAGCCACCTATGTGAGAGACCAGATCAATATGGTGACTGTTTCTTCTGGGGGCTCTCCCCTTGGTCAAATAATCTGCTATCAAGTAGCATTTCAGATTTTAACTAAACAATTAGAACCATATTTGTTTTTCCTTGAAGGAATTGTCTCCAAGCTTCCTTGGAATTGGAGGACTGGAGCAATTCTGTATATTTAGATCATAAAGGTGATCAGAGGAATAATAAATGGTAGTGAAAGGATTTTAGAGATAGGAGAGGTGGGTTTTAGGAAAGGCAGGTCCATGGGAGAGGAATTCATACGTGACAGGCAGAGACAGCTCCAAGCCACCAGATTGCTTATAAGGATGTAACAAGATAATGGGAAGAAGAAGAGGGGGGCACCAGGTGAGCTTTGAAATGATGAAACTGATACCATGCAGGAATAAGGGGCCGGGGGAAGTGGCCAATTAGGAAAATATGGGGTACACAAAATAAGGAAGGTTGCAATTAGAAAGTGTCATGAAGAGACAAAGAAGCTTCCAGCATTTATAAACTTGTGGACAAAGAGACTCACAGGACTGGGTTTTTCCCATTTTAGAGAGAGCAGGGCTTTACCATTTTGGGGATCCCTCCCCTGTGGAGTTCCCCTTTGGGGGCCCTGCCCCAGGGGGAGTCTGTATATGATTAAAATAAACTTCTAGAACCAAGATGGTAGCATAGGTAAAAGCCTGTACTTGCTGCCTCCCACAACCACATCAAAATTACAACTAAAATACAGAACAACTATCATCCAGAACCATGGGAAAGCTGGCTGAATGGAAGTACTCAAATAGAGAGGTAAAGAAGAAAGCACACTGAGACTGGCAGGAGGTGTAGAGGCGTGGAATGGGCTGGTCCGGCACCTGGGTGTGCTGCTTTTTTAATTGGAAGGGAGATTGCCAAAGGGGTGCACCAAGAGTGTCCACCTCAGGTAATTGGGGATGCTGAGCCACTGGGTCCTATAGGACACCTACTACACAAGGCCACTATATCAACTCAAGGGGACTTAGCAGCTACCCAATATATAGAAACAAACACAGGAAAGCAGCCAAAATGCAGAGACAAAGAAACATGTCACAAATGAAAGAAATGGAAGAAAGCAAACTACTGGATATAGAATTCAAAACCGTGGTTATAAGTTTACTCCAGAATTGTCTAGAAACCTCCAAGGAACTTAGTGATACTTTCAAGGATCTTAGTGAGAATGCCAAAAAAAAAAAAAAAAAAAGAAAGAAAAAGAAAAAGAAACAAAAAGGAAAAGGAAAAGGACCAATGAGAAATTAAGCATACACTGACTGAAATAAAGAATAATATACAGGGATTCAACAGTAGATTAGAGGATCCCGAGAATCAAATCAATGATTTGAAATATGAGGAAGCAAAAAACACCCAACCAGAAGAGCAAAAAGAAAACAGAATCTAAAAAAAGAAGATAGTGTAAGGAGCCTCTGGGGCAATTTCAAGCGTACCAACATCCGAATTATGGGGGTGCCAGAGGAAGAGAGAGAGCAAGATATTGAAAACCTATTTGAAGAAATAATGACAGAAAACTTCCCCTACCTGGTGAAAGAAATACACTTACAAGTCCAGGAAGTACAGAGAACCCCAAACAAGAGGAATCCAAAGAGGACCACACCAAGACACATCATAATTAAAATGCCAAGGGCAAAAGACAAAGAGATAATCTTAAAAGCAGCAAGAGAAAAACAGTTAGTTACCTACAAGGGAGTGCCCATACGACTGTCAGCTGATTTCTCAACAGAAACTATGCAGGCCAGAAGGGAGTGGTAAGAAATATTCAAAGTGATGAATAGCAAGAACCTACAACCAAGAATATTCTACCCAGCAAAGCTATCATTTGAAGGTCAGATAAAGAACTTCACAGACAAGAAGAAGCTAAAGGAGTTCATCACCACCAAACTAGTATTATATGAAATGCTGAAGGGTATTCTTTAAGAAGAGGAAGAAGAAGAAGAAGGAAAAGGTAAAGATAAAAATTATGAACAACAAAGTGACAACAAATACATATCTATCAACAAATGAATCTAAAAATCAAGTGAATAAAAAATCTGATGAACAGAATAATCTGGTGAATGGAGTAGAATTAGGGGCATGGAAATGGAACGTACTGACAGTTCTCAGAGGGAAGGGGGTGTGGAGGGGTGCAGGAAGAGATTAGACAAAGATCTTATATACATGTATGTATTACCTATGGACACAGACAATAGGGTGGTGAGGGCCTCGGGTGGGGTGGGAACTGGGTGGAGAGGAGCTATGGGAGGAAAAAAGAGGGACATCTGTAATAATCTCAACAATAAAGATTAATTAAAAAAACTTCCATAGTTTTGCTTAAAATCTTTTAGTCTGCGAATTTATTCTTCAAATTTTGTGAGACAAGCACCTGAGAGGAGAGTCACAGCTTGCTATTCCACGCATCAGTAGGCTATTAAGTGCTTTCCACCTTTTTCTTGCCTTTATAGTCAGTGTTTTGGGAGAATGAGAAGAATCTGGTGTTGGTCCAAGGCTAAATAGTTTAGCAGTACAACATTTGAGAGGGGGTATTTTTCCCCCTCAATAAATGTAGAAAAATTGGAAATAAAACTGTTCAGAGAATGGTTTCCAAGAGGTAAGCCTCAATATCAAGTGATGTATGAAAATCGGAAGACTTTTGAGACCCTACAGCAATTTTTTTCTTGAGACCCTAAAGCTTTCTAGTTCCTTTTCATTCACCTTTTGCATTACCTTAATGTATAAGATATTTTGAAATATGTTCCTTAATAATGAAGAATCAGCTGAGGCAAAAGGCTGAACCCATAAGGACTTAACATTACAGAAGTCGACCACAGCTGAGGTTTTTCCACATGTTATGCCAGACTGATGACTACAGTGCCAGCTGTCCTCTATTGTGTATAAAATTAAAGTCAAACTCTTCACTCAGGATAAAGGCCTGTCACCCAGCTCTGAGGGCTCATCTTCTATTGCTCACCAAAATAAACCTTCAACTCTGACACGAGCTACCTATGTAATACCCTTGGAGTGTACCACACATATTTTTATCCTTGTCCTGTCACACTTGTTCTCTTTGCTTAGAATCTCTTTTGTCTTACAGCTCACATTCAACACACACTCCAAGGCTACACCGCAGTCCCACAACTTCTATGTACCCCTTCCTGATTCCTCTAGTCCACTAACATCTTCTCTCTTTTAATTCATCACTATATGATCCTTACCTTTAGGTTATGACTATATTCTAATTTCTAATTGTCCTCTTATGAAAAAATACATTTTATCTCTGTACTTCACTGGCAAGCACAGTGCCTTCTACTTCTTTTGTTTACGGTGGTACTGGGTGCCTCTTGAGGAGTTCCTTATTGACTATAAAGGCATACATTTAAATTATATCTAACTGTATGTATGACCTGTCCAATGATATGTTATCATCAGAGTCTGTAAATATAACATCTGATCTTTTAAACTTATTTTTGTAAACATGTAACCAGGAATGGTAGGTGGTAGGAACACTGTAGACTCATTCAGATATACATAGTCAACAACTCAGTTAAAAAATGGGGATCATTTATCTGAAAGGAAGGATAGTTAGATTCCAATGGAATGCTGCTAGGAACATATCACTTTTCAATGCCAACACATAAATAATCATTGGTTTACAATGAGGTTTTCATCTTCAAAGTACTCGATGCGCAAAATCAATGTGGTTCCCATCAGACCTAGTGATTTGTTAGAAACCGGGGGTATAAGAAACAATTTTCCTCCCACCTTCTAAATTCTTCTAGATGGATTAATAATAAAATTTAATGGACACATATTAACAGGAGAAAATGTCCAAACTTTATTTTCCAGGTGCCATAAGAATGAGAACCATGGACAGATTGGACAGTTAAGGGCTTATATGCCATCCTGAGCTAAGGAAAAGAGGCGGTGGATTGTGATTTGGGACCTCAAAGAGCAGGAAGGCAATTTTCATGGAAATGAAAAAAGCAAAAGTTTGGTAAATAAATGTTTGCTGGGCCATATTTAACAATAGGACACAGAGAAGACTTTGATCAAAGGGACCTTGCTAGGTTCTTTCCTGTCTGTTGCACTTAGTTTATATTAAACTATAGTTACCTGTGATAATGTTTCCCTTCCTGGAGCAGGTTCTCTATCTAAATTCCTTTGGGCAGGTAAAGAGGGATGGACAAAGGTTATTTCTGAATTGTTTGTTTCTTAATAACCAGCTTAAAATAACCAATATCTCAAAAGACATATTTTGGGGTGGCAAGCGCTGCTATCCTTCATTGCCAAAGACAAACTGCACCTTCACCTTCATTTCACCTTCACTTCACTTCCTAAACCTAATTTCCTCATCTAAACATGTGGAGGGTGGTCCCAGCACTGAGTTTTCTGATTCAATATTAACAAATTCTTAAGTCCTTTCCTGCTCCTTCCTTATTCCATGGTGAGGTAATATAAAGAGGGATATTTCTGTTGAGTTGATCCTTCTTTCAACTCAAAGGATTAAGACTATATCCAGAGCATTGGGCTCATCCAAGGGAATAAATATAAATAAGAATTTAAATATTTCAAGTCTGGGATTAAGTTCTGAAAATGGATCTCCTAGAATATTCTAGCCTAAGGACATGAAATTTACCACTTTGTTCTAGGAGGCAGGGCATGTCAATGTGCTCCTGGGAAGAGAATGAGCGGGAAGCGGGGGTAGGGGGGGCGGCAATGGTGGGATAAGGACACATATGTAATACCTTAATCAATAAAGAAAATAAAAGAAAAACACTACTAAATATATATATATATGTAAAATATAAAATAAAATGTGCATCATCATTTGAACTCATTTCAAAATTTCTTGTCTATACAAAGAATTGAATGATTTTTACACATTTTGCTTAAATATTTTTAAATCTAAAAATGAAAGGGTTCTATTTTGCATGTTGGGATGCTATAAAAGAAAAAGATCCCATAGAAACGTAATGTGTGAGAATGGAATAAAATGAAACAATGATTTAAAAAAGAAAAAGGAATTCCAAGTCCATGTATCTGCAGGAACTTAAGGAAAAATCACATAACTGTTCCTTAGTTTTACCTGTGCAACAATTATGCTTGCTCTTTAGAACTAATAACAATGACCATACTTTACTCAGTGAATTAAACCCTGATTTAATTTGCATGGGCAAAACAAGAAAAACATATAGGAATGAAACTAATTATTAAGAACAACCACCTCTAACTTTTCAGATAAATGAAAATCAAAGGTCAAAAGATTAATGGTAACAGCCATCCTCCCAAACAGATTTTGGCATTAAGTAAGATTGAGTCCCTCCAGTTCCTGAAGCTAGCTGGGATGGCAGAAATCACAGCTGTCTAAATACATGTGACTTTTAGTTGTTTCCAGAAAATGCTGATGAACTAAAATTAGCAGGAACATGGAACATCTACTTCATTACATAATCACTAATTGCAAGTTAAGAAGGAAAATAAAATTCTGACTATTCTGATGACTGTATAGAGCTTTCACTTATCTCTAGGATGTGTGTGTGTGTGTGTGTGTGTGTGTGTGTGTGTGTGTGTGTGTAACATTTTTGGGTTTGCTGAATTAAGAAAGTCAGTTAAAAAAGAGAGGACTGTGTGTTGAAGAATTCACTAAGTGCCTCATCAGCAAGAGCTCTTTGGAGCTGCCTTAAAAGTTTTAGGGTTTTATTTTCTCCTTTGTGCCATTAGGTTTTCCAATCCTCTAGAAAATAATAACCAGAAGACTCTTTCATAATTTGAAAACACATTTTTTCTTCCTCCAAAGAGAGCTCAGATTAAAGCATCATGAAATGTATTTTTCACTGTGTATTACAAAACCTTTTTGTTTTTAAATCTTGGAAGTATGAGTGAAAATTTTGAAAAATGAAGTAGCAGAATAATGATAAATAAGATATTCTATAATGCTAAAGTCTCCCCATTACATTTAGAACAGAAGAGTCACAACAAATATGAGGTCAAATACTTCTTTACAAATTTACTTTTAATTCCATAGTTGACCTTTGAAAGTATGCCAATCAGTATCTATACTAATAAAAGCCTAGGTGGCCCTCGCACCCTCACGAGACATCCTCACATCATCACAAGATGGCCACCACAAGATGGCCACCCTCATGTCATCACAAGATGGCCACCCCAAGTTGGCTGGCAGGGGAGGGCAGTTGGGGGCAACCAGGTCTGCAGGGGAGGGCAGTTGGGGGTAACCAGGCTGTCAGGGGAGAGCAGTTGGGGGCGATCAGACTGGCAGGCAGAAGTGGTTAGGAGCAATCAGGCAGGCAGGCAGGTGAGTGGTTAGGAGCCAGCAGTCCTGGATTGTGAAAGGGATGTCCGACTGCTGGTTTAGGCCTGATCCCTGTGGGAAACTGGGGTGGGTGGCAGCGGGGCATGACTGGGGACTGGTGAGCGGGTGGAAGATGGCCCTGATCACAGGACTAGGGACATTACCTGCACATGATCGCACGATTTCATGCACTGGGCCTCTAGTAGGACTATAAATGCTTATAGAAGAGATGCAGATGATGATCAAATATAATGAAAATTAAAATATAAGAAGATGATGATGATGAAGAAGAACTAGAAACATAAAGTGGTGATCAATATGCAGCCTTTGGATTCTTATCTGATAACTGCCTGCATGTGGACTCTGTGTGCTGCTCCTTAAGGCAAGTGATCATGTCTCCATAGCAACCTAAGCCCTCATGCCCACTCTACCTCCATGACAATGTGCTACCTGCACAGTCAAAGTCTTGACTGGGCAGCAGGAAATACGCCCACCAGAGTCTCATCTTTACCTCCCTCATAAAACTGTGACTTATGCCTGTTTTGGTAATAACCAGTTGTTACCTAGATAATTATCCCCAAGCCAGTATGTGGCCTGAGAAAAGGCCTACGGTTCACTAGTAGGTTTTCTAAGTATTGTTTCCTTCCCTATTCTGAAAGATTCAAAGAGCACTTTGGCTTAACACTTTTTAGTGCCTATTTTATGCTTAGCCACGTAATTTAACTTAATTTTCTTTTTCTTATTATCGTTAATCCTCACCCAAGGATATTTTTTCCATTTATTTTTTTTAATTTAAATTCTTTATCATTGAAAGTATTATATATGTTTCCTTTTTTCCCCCCATTGACATCTCCCAGGCCACTCCCCTCCCCCCCAGCACATGTCCTTGCTCCCCTACTGTCTGTGTCCTTTGGTTATGCTTACATGCATGCACACAAGCCCTTTGGTTGGTCTCTTACCATTTTCCATTTATTTTTAAAGAGAGTGAGTAGAAGGAAGGGAGGGAGAGAGAGAAATATCGATGTGAGAGACACAACAATTGGTTGCCTTCCACACACACCCATTAGGGTCAAGGATTGAACCTGCAACCCAGGTACATGCCCTTGACCGGGAATTGAACCCTTGACCCATCAGTCCGTGGGCAGATGCTTTAACCACTGAGAAACACTGGCCAAGGCTAATTTAATTTTCTTGTTTGCCATATACCACATTGAAGACCCCATATTTCTCCCCATTTGGGGTCTTTATCAGTACTGACCAAAAGAACATTCTGTAATGATAGAGATGTTCTCTATCTGAATCATTGGAAATAATAAGAACTAGTCACAATTGAGCATTTAACATGTGGCTAGTATAACTGAAGAAGTGAAGTTCTTTGGAATTAATTTTAATTGATTTAAATTTAAATAGCCACATATAGCTATTACTACTACGTTGGACAGTGCAGATGATTTAATTCGCTTCAGCTCTTTTCCTTCTGGGATTGTGTGTGTGTATGTGTGTGTGTGTGTGTGTGTGTAACAGTTTTACTGGTACCTGAACATTATAGTTTAAGTGCTTTGTACTTAATGGAAAACTTTTCTGAAACTCTGAAAAATTATTGACATAAAAGGAATTTAACCTTGATATTTATGTGGTTCTATTTTGATTTTCAATTCTGAATTGCTGAATTCTCTCAGAGTTAGGAAAATGGAGTCACAGGATAGGGGAAAATTAGGAGAATTCATCTTGCAATCCCAGGAGACTTTCAAATTTAATTTATCTACAGCATAACAGTAACTTACTAATATTCTAATGTCTGTTCTCAAGAAATAATTTCCATTCCATTACAGTTTATGTGATATACTAAATCTAAGAGGTATTTGAAGAGAGTTGTATTTAACTGGGGAACTCAGAGTTGACTTTTGCTCAGAAAATGATGAAAAATCCTTTTTGTTTTGTATTCCCATCTTGATCCATCCCTCAGCCCAGCAATAATTTATCAGTTTAACAAATGGAGTCAGCCAAACTACTGTATGCATTCTCTGCCTGGTCAGAGAATTAAAGGAGTGAAAGCCAATGAAAATGGAAATACCTAATTTCTAAATAACTCTTCAAATAAAATTAGTTATTGTTACGATAATATATACCATGGAGAAGCCACCATAAAAGTTCCAGAAAAAAATGAATTTTTTTTCCTCTCAACCAGTAGCAGGCCATTTTTTATTTTTGCCAGAACCTATAATTTTCTCCAATATGACCATCCTCAGTCCATTATGCCCTTGGCTTGATTTCCTACAATGAACCAACTTCTCTAAACCTGCAAACATGACTAACATCCCTTCCACCCCAGACACACACACCCATGCTCTAGACCAGTGGTTCTCAACCTTCCTCATGCCGCGACCTTTTAATACAGTTCCTCATGTTGTGGTGACCCCCAACCATAAAATTATTTTCGTTGCTACTTCATAACTGTAATTTTGCTACTGTTATGAATCGTAATGTAAATATCTGATATGCAGAATGTATTTTAATTGTTACAAATTGAACATAATTAAAGCATAGAGATTAATCACAAAAACAATATGTAATTTTTATGTGTTTTCCGATGGTCTTAGGCGACCCCTGTGAAAGGGTCAGGTTGGCGACCCACAGGTTAAGAACCGCTGCTCTAGAAACAATATAATTTATAGCACAAGCTCTCAGGCTCTGGGGTCAGACGTGGGTGTGATTTTGGGAAAGTGACTTTTTCTCCCTGTGTTTCAGGTTCCCCATCAGTGGAGCAGAGAGACAACAGTGCTTCCCAAAGCAAATGGCCGTGAGAGAGATATGATGTCATGCTAGATCAAGTTGAGCCTGGGACACACCACATACTACACAGTGGTCCTCTTTACTGCTCCCTGCTCTGTTACCTTCTGGGAGTCACCACAGCTCTAACGACCCCATAGGGCAGCGTTGACCTTGACATCTCAGGAGGATCAGCAGCAGCTATATTTTCCAATTATTTCTGGTGCCCGAAGTCTCTTCTGTGCTTGTAACTGAGCACCAGTTTCACTTGGCAGGTCAGTCAATGCCAGCAAATACAGTTGTTAAAAGTCTGGATATACCAGCATTGCATGCCCTGGCTCTGCAGGAGCCCACAGAGGGGCGAGGGTCCATGCACCAAGCTTAAGGATGGATTTCTCCTGAAGACCTATGAATATGTCATAAAAGTATACATGGGAAAGCCCCAATGTACCACCAACGCCATATCAGAGGAGTTCGTATCACTTACTTTTGAGAGACGGCTCATTCTCTCTTCGTTGTCTTCCAGGACACGCAGACTCGGAGGAACGTACCAGAAGCAGACATTTGTATGCTGAGGCTACATAGAGAAAAGTAAGAGTCACACTCACTCAGCACAAACCAGCAATTTTGAAAATTCCAAGGACATTTCTAATCTACTTATGCTGCAGCTTCTAAATACAATTCCTACTTTTAAATCTGTAATCACCTTTGAAGTGCCTGACTTTCACAACCTTATTCAGTTACTTTTTAATTTTTTTATTAACAGATTTTTATTGTTGATAGTATTACAGATATCTCCCACTGCAGTTTATTTTTTTGTGAGTTTGATTTTTACTCCAGCTCAGAAGAGCTACCCCATCATCCTGGCTTCTCCTTTGTAATGATCCACTTACCTGGATAGCACATTATTGACATATAAAAATATATCAGGCGCAAGAACGGCAATTGACTAAACATTTTGGGATTGTACAAATCAGAAGACATACCTTTCCATCAAACACCATTTCATATCCTTCTCGGTTTTTTATGATATTGTATAAATACTCTGCCAGCTCCAAGCACTTGTCAATATGTGCTTCAAACCCAGCAGTTCCCTAAGTGAGAGAAGAAGAGAGACTCAGGCAGGCCGAGAAAAGTGGGGAGCACCCAGGCTGAGCTACGGACAAGTGATCCCTCGAGACAGATGGTCTTCCTGCCACCTCGGTGTCTTCCCTAACAGAAGGGAGTGTTTGAGGAAGCTTTTCTGGCAATTCTTTCTCCTCTACTGTTCTCCCCCTCAGGTGTTTTTGTTCCCTTTCCCGTCTGGCATTACTGCTCTCCACGGAGACTCTTTTTCTGTCCAGGGCCTCCATTCTCCAGGCAATTATTTTGCTTACTCAAGGGGAAAATTTGCGTCTGCATTCATAGGGGTAATTATGGAAGTCATTAATGACAGGAGGGCTGGGCTCTTCGCTTCCTGTGGATAAGAAGCATCATTAGAGACCACCCCCATCCCCACACCGGAGGGGATGCTTAGGCCCTGCCCATCAGGTAAATCAGTCATTTCCAGACCCCGCTTTTGTTCACAAAATGTACCCCCATCATAGAACAAACAGGGTAGGTCTCAGTGAATATTTGTGGAACGCATGAATGAATGAATCTTTAGGGGCACGCAGATGCTTTGCTAGCCTGTCACGCTGCAAAGCTTATTAGATTTCTCCTCTGGGGATCAATGGCTGATGTGTGTGTAGTGGGCCAACAAGGTCACAGAGGCCTTCCAGCTTTCAGCTCCGGAAGCCCAGGGTCTGGACTTAGGGAAAACAGCCCAGCAGCCTTGGACCGGGACTGTTGAACTGACGTCAGGCCACACTAGGGAATGGCTTTTCGAAATGGCTTTCCTTCAGTGCTTGTGGGATGCTAATGGAAAGCTTAGAAAAGCAGCTCATGCTCATCCCAGGAGCTCTTAGAACTGGCCCACCAGTGACTAATGCAAACGAGAGCGAGCAACTGTAATGGAGACAAGATGAACCCACTTCCCTGTTTACACACAATCCCGTCATTCTAGCTAAAAGAGGGACCCAGCATGGGCAGTGACATTTAGTATCTGACACATGTTTAAGAATAAGCTGCATTTAAAAAATCTCATGGGTTTAGCAATCTGTTTCTCTGGAGGTTGCTGCCCTAGCTGATTGGTTTAAGGAGGCTGAGTGGTTCCTGATGAGCCCAAGGAAGGACTGGGCTGACGCCTGAATGCTCACACTAACACCCATGCCATCTGCTCCATGAGTCTGTGGATGCCAAAGAAATTAGGATTGGCTTAGACTGACCTGGAAGTTTGGGTCCACTTGGGATGGACCCTAGGTAGGAGGGAGAGAGGTTAGTTGTTCTTTAAACTGGATCCTTTGGACCAGGCTAGAGCTGAATTTAAATTTTCACACACCTGATCCAGGATATGACAGGACCAGCATGACTCTGATCCTGTCCAGTGTATGACGTTGGCTAATCTCTCTGGTCATGTGGGAATAGCGGTGCTTGTGTGATTTCCCACACAGAGGCATAACAAGGTAACACGAATGCTCCGAAAGTGAGCTTGATTGTATTGCAAAGGGAGTGGAAGTCCTCAGCCATTTGCCAGTCCACTTGTTATCTATGTTGAAATTAGGGAGGCCAATCACAGAAAACTAAAAGGACACCTGCCAAACCCAGCTGGCGTGGCTCAGTGGTTGAGCAACGACCTATGAACCAGGAGGTCACGGTTTGACTCCTGGTCAGGGCACATGCCAGGGCTGCAGGTTTGATCCACAGTGTGGAGCGTGCAGGAGGCAGCCAATCAATGATTCTCTCTCATCATTGATGTTTCTATCTCTCATTCTCTCTCCCTTCCTCTCTGAAATCAATAAAAATATATTTATATATAAAATGAAACCTGTCAATTGGCATAAAGATACAGACACAAAGATTTACTGTGAAAACTCATTCGTTACATATTAAACCATCTCTGCAGGCCAAAAAAGGGGGACTAATTTTAAACAATTTTTTCTACCACCAAGTTTTCACCACTGAAGAAATCTGTCAAGAAGGAAAATACTCATCAGACAAAATGAAAGTTCTACTCAATAAGAACAGAGTTGAGGGCAGGCACAGTGCCCTTGCTAAACACACGTACCATGAAGCAGTCTAGAGCACCTCCCAGTATCCTACATCAGGAGGCTTTTAAAAAAATAAATTTGGTCTGCCCTAACCGGTTTGGCTCAGTGGATAGAGCGTCGGCCTGCGGACTCAAGGGTCCCAGGTTCGATTCCGATCAAGGGCATGTGCCTTGGTTGTGGGCACATCCCCAGTAGGGGGTGTGTAGGAGGCAGCTGATTGATGATTCTCTCTCATCGATGTTTCTGACTCTCTATTCCTCTCCCTTCCTCTCTGTAAAAAATCAATAAAATATATTAAAAGTAAATAAATTTGGTCTAATCAAGTAATCTTGGACTTAACGTGATGGCTGTCATCAGTGCACTTAGTTCCATTAGTCATTAAGAGATTAAGGAATAGTAAATTATACATTGGATGCTATCTTTCAAGTAGTTTATCTTGGGAGAAAATGTGGATTCACTTGAAACATTGCATTCTTCCGGCGTATCAGATAACAGAGGGTTTAATGATTATTGACTTTTCGGATTGTGTCCTCATTCCTGGGAGCAAGAGGGCATGTCAGAGAGAAGATCGTGGCTCACTCTTTCCTGGATCTTCTCGGGAGAGATGCCCTCCCCTCCCCTGACTGGCATTCCTAGACAGTTTTTGAGGTGAGAAGGCAATTATCCTCACCTCTGATCCATAGTGCAGGGCTACACTTATTACTTTAATGATTATTATCAATTCACTTTGTAAAAAATGCAGCTTTTTTTTTTAAGTTGAAAGCCAAATGGGCATTTTGTCTGTCTAGATGCTTAAGGTTTTACACAGGGAATTAAGAGACCATGTGTTCATAAGTTATGTGGCTGCTGGGACTGTTCTTTTCCCCCCTCTCCTGGTGCCTTCATTTCAGCACTTTCGAAACTGGATCCTTTGCCTTCATTTCAGGCTTCATTTGTTCCTGCTGTTTAATTCACACCTGATGTCCTCCAAGTTATTTCTCTAAGAACCAAGCGGCTGCACCATGCTGGTGAGGAGGCTTTAGATGGAAGAGGAGCAGCAGGAACTGATGAAGCATGAGAGAAACATTTTTGTGTAAACGTGGCTGATGATCATCATCTTAATAAAAATGCCAAGGAAAGGAGACAAAAAGGATGGTACTGAACAATATTTAGAGATCAGGCTTACCTCACCTTATTGGCTGATATTTTGTAATTCCCACCAATTGATGAAATGAAAAGCCCACTCCTTTTGATAGCTTGAGAATACACCAATAATTCATATTATTAACACATCACACTAAGATGCAGTTTGTGTTTTTAGTCAACATTCAGCTGATCTACACACGCTCACCTTAGCTCTCCACATCAGCCATAACTTAAAGACATCAACATGGCGTCCGCACTGCAAGGCCTTGTCTCCAGTGTCATAGGACAGGTCATAGTGTTTATCTTGCTGGAAGAGGTAGGAGGCATGCATCTGGTTGCAACTCTGCATCAATCCCTACAAGAGGAGAGAAAACTTAGGAAACTCTACTGACTTTCTAGGTATTCTATTAGAGTAACTCTGTGATGGAAATTATTAAGGAAAAATAAAAGAGAGATACCTTGACTATCCTAGAGAAAGAAAGCAGTAAGAATCAAATGGAAAAAAAGTGGGACCAATGTCTGGACAGGATGGGCTGTGCTAAGTCAACACTGTGGGATAAATGGCTCAGGGTCAGATGTTACCAGAGTTTAAGCAGAGAAGGCATTAAAAAAATCACAATCAGAGTGTAATGTTTATACTTTGGGAGAACATCCTATATTCTTGTTTTGTTGCAAATATAATATTTTGGGAACTCTTTGGTTCTGTAAAATATTATTAGTGTAATTCTTCCCTGGTTTCATCCCTATTTAGTTCAAGTACTTTATCATTTAGCTGTTAAGGTTGAGTTCTCTTTGGAAGTCATAGCTTTTAAGATAGTTCACTGCTATCATTTTTATATGCTGGAATCTAAAAGAAACAAAGACATTATTACTCTGAGATGTCTTAAATAACCAATATGTCAAATGTCATGCTCTTCTCTCAATAGTGGTTAGTGTGTCTGCACTGCATTTTCATATTCAGTTGTGTATGGGAGTTACAGCGGAAAGTCTCACTGTCGGTGACCATTAAAGCTCCTTGGGACCATAAGCTTACTATGGAAAATGGGTGGCAAAGTGATAGAACTTTTCCAAAGAACAGTGAGTGAATCATGCTCTCTTGACTAAGACAGCACTGCTCGTCTCCTCGTTAGAAACCCCACCACGTTTCAGTTTGTCATGAGCCACAGGAATCCCTTGACTCCTACATCATCCACAGCGTAACTGTGATTTTATAGAAGGTTTGGCATTTTTTTCTCTTGTGACTCATGACCAGAGAAAAGACCAAAATGTGAACATTTAGTAGAAGTTAGCAGTGAGAACCCTTTAAAAAAATTATCTAAACTAAAACAAAAGCATTGCAGCTAAGATCTTAACTAGAGCTCAGCCTTCATATTTAGTGGACTGCATTAAGTTATTTTTTGAGGCTAAAGGAAATTACCCAATATAATTGAAATAGGGCAGTAGAAAGACATAGAATTTGAAAAAGAAAATTCACTTGACCAACAAAGTAAAAAATTGCTTCAGGTGATTCTGTTTTGTTTCATGGTCACAGAAACTTGGTATCAACCTTCCTCAGCTCTACAAGCTTGCATAAAGGCTCCATCAATCCTAAGGGAGCCATCCCCGAGTGTGGAATGGTAGGTAGATCAGACCAGCTTCTACTGGGATAGAAAGGTCACTCACAGCAAATGGGCTCTAAAAGGTTGGAGAGCACTAGTCTCATTGTGTGAAAGGATAAATAGAAGTGATGCTGTTTTTCACATAAAGGGCCTTGGTCAGATAGTATCCTGGTTCTGGGCCATTACAAAGTTTTAAACGATTATGTCCCAAACTATGATAAATACATGAATAGGTGCTGTGCTGTAAACTAGTTACCGTGAAAGAGATTCCTTGGTCAAGTAAGCGTAGGAAATTCTATATAATAAATCCCTTATTTTCAGATATTTGCATATTAAAGGCTCTGATATGCCCAGAAATAATTAAACTTGTTTTTAACTCTTTAACCCAATGCATCCCAAGCTTTTTGAAGACTAAGAATTCTCTCACCACAGAATATGTAGAATGGCATCATTCCTTGGTTCCCAGTAAAGGCAATGCTGTCACAGCGTCATAGATTTGGAAGGAATCTATTCCTTCCCAATGAGGGTATCCTTTCTATCCTCTTACTAATAAGTGATTGTCCAACTTCATTCAATCACCTCCCCTGATGAGGCATTTATTTCTACATAAAGCATTCGTTACTTTTTGGGCAGTTTAATTTTCAGAAAAGCATTCCTTTTATTGACCCCCAACTCAGACATTAAATCATGGTGTATTCTAATTTTGCCACCAAATCTGTACCAAGCAGTGTTACTAACCCAGTTTCCTGAAACCTCAGGAGAAAAACAAAATCTCTTCCACGTGAGAGTAATTTAAACATAGGCTATCTTTTCAGGCCCCTCCTTCCTCCCTCCCT